TTTTTTTTTTTTTTTTTGCCATGCCAAACAGCGTCCCTCTCTCCAAGTGTTTGCACAACATATTTTGAGAATTCCTTTTCGAGCGTATCGTTTAATCTTGTATGACTCTACGGCTTAATCAGTCAGTTCCCCAAGCGCAAACCGTCGCTTCGTTATATGATGCCCCTGGAGCATACTTCCCCTCTCGCTAAGGGTTAATTCACAATAACGTGTACATGTAAATTGTAAATGAAATGTGCATGTAACATTTTTCCCTGTTTTTTTTTTCCTTTGTTTTTTTTTTTTTTCTTCTCTTATTTCCCACCCCCCAAACAGTCACGCAAAAATGGTTTTCATCCCCGTGGAAGAAATTTTCAAACATTTCCCCAACTTTTCGAAGGACCGAGTGAAATTCTTACGGCGTTACAGGTGAACAGAGCATGAGAGTGCGCGCAGTGGCTGCGTGGTAATGTGACCATCGAATACACCGCGTGTGTGTAAAGCGGCCTTAACCAAAGGTGGAGTATCCCAAGGGCGAATACATATTGAGGGTAATGTAACCGCTTTACCCTCACGTGGACCCTTGTGTCGTATTTTACCCGCATGTGTCTGTCTCATCATACAATATTTGCCCCATTATAACGCTTCATTTTTTTTTTTTATTCGTTCTTCCCCGAGTGCAGCTTCCTAAGTCTTATGTTAGGTGCAGCGGCCCTGATAAAGTCACACCAGCCGGACTTCTCCGTGCGGCACTACACCCCCTCATATTTTTACAAGTCCCACTTGGGCAAGTTAAAGGATAAGGGGGTCATCGACGAGGACAAGTACAACAAGCTGTTAAATGCGCAGTCATGAGCGGGTGGTGGAGTACACCCATGGAAAAGAAGTTACCTTCAGCGATTAAATCACCATAATTTGCCATGAGCCTTTCCCGAAGTAGCAACCTCCAGTATATATCGAACAACCCATTGAAGGTTTATTAGTAGAGGGCAGAAGAACGCAAATGCACAACCATTATAATAATGGCGTGTAAAAGGAGAAGTATGAATTGGGGGGACATGATGGAAACTTTTTTTCTTTTTTTTTTTTTTTTTTTTTTGTGGTTAGAGGATCCGATGCGCAAATGAAATGATGTAATGAAACAACGTGTTTGCACAAGCTGGACGTTTCTGCTCATTCGTGTATTTCCCCCAAGTAACCATATCGACGTACACCTATATCATACCACAATGTGCGCAGGTAACAGGAAGGGTAGTTTTTATCATCATCCCAAATGTTACTCCTGCTTGTTCATTTTTATTAACGTTGTTGGTATGTGTAGCGGTGGGTGTTGTTTATGCCTATTAAATTTTTTTTTTTTCTCCTAGCCTCGCTATTTTTTTGTCCAGGCTAAAACGTATGTCGTTTACACTGCGCAGGACGAAACGGGGGCCTTGTTCACATTTGGGCAAGCGCTCCGATAAGCTGCTTAAACGTTCGTATCCGTTACTCTCCTCGTACAGACGCAGGAGTGTAGTGCGCATAGGTACGTATATTTCCTTCTGCGGAAAATAAACAACCTTGGTATGGAAAGGACGGTTTAGGGTTATTCAACATGGAGGATACCTTTTGCGTGTAATGGCCAAACACGTGTGGAGTGCTCTGACAAAAGGGTATAGCATAGCATGCAGGAACAATGCCAATCGTGTTGCCATTTCAATTGAGAGGTTCCCCCCAAAAAACAAGGGGTGCTTGTCGTACTGGTGTTTATATGGGCAAATGGTGGTTGTCCACATGTGCAGGCCACATTTTTAATTTTCCATGCAGGAGTGGTCATATTACACATGGCATTTTTTCCTGATGCCACTCCTTTCAAACATGCCTTTTGAATAGGAGAAGTATCAACGTGGAACAGCCCATGGGGGGGGGAGGGCTGTTTTTGCAGCGAATGTTGGGAAAACATCTGTCGCACTTCAGGTGTTCGTTCTATATACACTTGGGCAAAGCTTTTTTGCTCATCATTTTTTTTTTTTTTTTTCCTTAACTTTCTCTTTTTTCTTCCTAAACTTTCTCTCTTTTTTGTTAACTTTTGCTATTTTTTTTCTTAACTTTCTCTCTTTTTTTTTTTTTTTTTTTTTTTTTTTTTTCTGGTTGAAGTGCAGGTTAGCTATTTTTTACTTCCATCCCTCCACCGTGTGTGCACTTGAATTTTTTTTTTTTTTTTGCAGAATTGAACGTTCGGTTCATATATATGGGGAAAATTCTTGATGACAAAAAAAGGCTGGAGGATTATTTAAGTCATTATTACAAGGACTTGCTTTTGAATGGCAAGCCCAGTTCATCCGGATATGACAGTAGGAAGGATGGGTCTGGAAGTACGAGTGGGATGACCAGAGAAACGAACATGAAAAATGCTTCCAGCGCTTCCAAGGACAGCTTTCTTAACATCCCTATTACAATTCATGTGAAGATAACAGAAAAGTCAAGCACCTCCAACAATGGTAAGTTGAACTGAGGGGATGAGACATACATTGTGGAAGGAATTCATACGGTTTGAAGTCTGTGTCGTGTCCCCCTCTCGTACGCACAAATGTATGTTACGTTTTTTTTTTTTTTTTTTTTTTTTTTTGCCTGACCTGCGAATGTAAAAATATTGCTAGTAAAAATTTATAAACCACAGTGAGGCCTACCAAAATCTGCAATGCTTTGAAGGAGAAGTTTTTGAGGAAGGAAGCTCTTGAAGAAGGGAGAGCTTCTTGAAGGAAGGCAGCTGCTTCTTTTTCTTTTAAACAGTTTTAACGTAGTACGCGGTGTTTTCTCGCCAGACAAATCTTCACGCATTCTTAAGCAGACTTTAACGAAGCATGTAGAGGGAAAAATCCTCGCTCATGCGCTAGTGGTTAAAGATTCCAAAGACCCATGGGTAGTTTCCTCCATTTGGTGACACCCCACATGCGAAGTCGCGGCATCGAGAAACGTTGTAATCGAAGCAGAAGAAAGGGAGAGATAGTGTCCGTGGTGAGGTGAAATATATACACCGATTGAGCGCAAGTTATAAATTGGGATCGCGCAAGTGAGTATCTTCCAAGTACAACACCCTTCTAAGCGGGAACATCGTCAGTAACCGCCCTCGAGCGTACTCCCCAGTTAGTCCCCCCCCAGATTCAGCGACAATGAAACTGGTGACCTTCTTAATGAAATTAACAAACGAAAATGTCACCATAGAGTTAAAGAACGGGACCCTCGTGACGGGGATCATAACGGGGGTGGACATCAGAATGAATACACATATGAAGAACGTTAAAGTCGTAATTAAAAACAAGAATGTCGGTGAGTATAATGTTAATACAAAGCAGTTTTTGTCGCTGGATCATGTAACGATCAGGGGGAATAACATAAGGTATTTTATTCTCTCCGATAGTCTCCCGCTCGACACGTTGCTGGTGGACGACACGCCCAAACAGAAGACGTCCAAGGATAAGGGCTATGCAAGCAAGGACAAGGTGAAGGCCGGGGGAAAGGGCAGGGGCAGAGGTCGCAAAATTATGAAAAGGTAGGGCTGCGTGCGGCGTAGCAGGGGGATGAACATGAATCGAATGAAGTGCAGGGAACAAATGGAAGAAGAATAAGTGCGCAGAACTGAGCTGAGGAAGGATGGATCCTTGCCAATTCGGCATTTGACCTCGTCACATAACCATGAACATAAATATAAATGCCTTTTCAACACCGCGTTTTTTTTAAAAAAGTAGGAAAAAAAAAATTGCCCATCGTAATAGCTAGCCAATTATATACTGTCTTTCGCATTTTAATATATGTTTTTACCTGAACAGTTCATAATTTTTTTTTTTTTTTTTTTCACATTATTTTTATGTCATTTTATGCATTTCAGCTTCATATCTGTGTGTATTTTCGTGGGGTGTATCGTTGCGTACTGATAACACACCACACCACTTCGTCTTTCGCATCACTGCAACATATTTCGCTTAACAACTGTTGCACGTGTGAAACCGCAGATCGAAGGATTTTTTCTTTCATTGTGTGAAATGGCCACCATTTGCTCTTTTAAGATGAAACGAAATTGTACGCACATACGTGGAAATGAAAGTGCGGGCGATGACAACGACGTTTTTAAGTTGCTTTTACCGTGGTCCATTTGGCTCGTTTCGCGTTAATGGCCCTTCCCTCTGCAGGAGGAAAAGTTCGCAACCGCAAAGAAGTCACTTCGTGCAATTTGTGCAAAATCGCAACAACTCATAAAAACTACGTCCATTTAATACAAACAGGAAGCAGGGGCACTTTTCCCTCTACAAAGCCTTCCCTTCTTCGTTGTCGTTCCTCATAAAAAAGTTCTTTTTTTTTTTTTTTTTAAGTAAACATTTCACTGCAATTTATATTCAAACTGGGTGCGTGCCTTTTTAACGCAAGGAGTTGTGAACATAACGACAGGCGGAACGAACAAGTTGGGCTTGTGATTAACGTGTTGTGCCTCCATTGCAGCTTAAATATTTTTTTCTCCAGCTGTTTTGCGCATTCATTTATTCGTTCATAAACTTGGGTTCAAATTTTCGCTCGCGTTCAAATGGCCTACTTTTAACATTGCGCAAAACAACGTGCATATGGAAAAACACCCGTGTAAAAAATTCAGGTCGCTCCCATTTTTGCCCTGGCGAAGTCCGCTTAAAAATGCCAACCTTGTCACGAACCTCTAAAGTAATCGACGAGAAGGGTATATGTAGAGGAGAGTGTTGTTTTTTTATGGTTCTTTGCAAAATGATGTGAGGTGGAATTTTTTTTTTTTTTTTTTTTTTTTTTTTTTTCACCCCAAAAAAGAGTACCCCTTTTTTTTTTTTTTTGTACGTTCATTCAGGAGTGGAAAAATGCATATGAAACTGTACATGGTTTCGTACGTGTATGTTTTTGCATCTATAAAAGTAACCGCAGCGCTGGCGACAAAGTTCGACGTTGCAGAGTGAACTCCCTCTGCTGGGCAAATTAGCCTATAAAGCGGTGAAATTTCTCTCAGGGGGAAAAAGAGAGGCGCCCTCCTGCCTATTAATTTGCATACCGTCGTTTTACGTAGCACAAGGGGAGAGCGCCCACCTTCATATTCATATAAAAATACGCACCTCTCTGTATACTGGCACTATCCATTTTGCGTACTTTTTTTTTGTGTTTTTTTTTTTTTTTTTTTTTTGTCCCCGTTTTCCAGACCGACCGCATATACACCTGTGCAACAGGAGAAATATGTCGGTCGTATGGCATGCCCAGGTAGTTCATGTGCCCCGTCCGCATGTTGGTCAGCCTATCTACTTGACCCCACTCTCTCCGTCGTAAAAAAAAAAAAAAAGAGTGCGCTCATATGTGTATGCACTTGCGTAAATTAGTTAATTTTACATGTGTACACTTGCGGGCGCTTGCAGCAAGAACCCAAGGCGAGACGCACCATGAGGAGTATTCTAAATAGCGTGTTTTTTGTGAACCAGAACCTTGGCAAGAACGCAAAGTGTAGGAGATTCGTTTCGGCCACATGTAGAGTGAAAAGTATTTTCAATCATAATAAGTATGTGTTTAAGGGCACGGACTACAGCCTGTGGAGTGAAGGGAGAAATGCACAGCAGGGGTGTGTGCATCTTACGGGGAAAAACAAAAAATGCTTTTCAACTTTTATGAAGAATGTTATCGAGCAGGTCAAAAAAGACATGAAGGAAAACAAGCAGTACCAAGAGGCCTTGAAGGAGTTGAAGGAAAAAACCGAAATCGACCACAAGGCGGTGAAGTTGAAAAAAAAAATTCGAGACAACATAAATCTGCTGAAGCACATAAAAGAAAAAAATGAAGAAGCAGTGAAGCTAGTCTACAATGACGTTAACAATTTTATTCGCTACTGTTTTGAGAATTACACAATTTTCAGATTTTCCAAAAATGCTAGTGTGAAATTTTTTCTTCTTCTGCACAAGTTGCTCCTGTGCACAAGCAGCAAGGTAACAGAACTGACTGACAAGTGGAACGAAAAGAACAGCGCCTTTGTGCAGCTGGACAAGTGGAGGCAGGAAATGGCCATCAGGCGGTACAAGAAAAGTGCGGCAAAAAATAAGGACAACGCTGCGGATAGCGGCGTTTCAGGCAGTAATGACCTCGGCATGGAAGAAAAGGGACCCTTGCAAAATGAGTCCAGCACAGATAGTGTAAATGGAGGGAGACAATGTGGAGAGGGCCCAGAGGAGAAGATCGCGGAGGACAAACCCGAGAGCAGTGAACTCGTATTGGCACAGGAGTCTGCGTGGGATAAATTTGGAAGCAAACTGAAAGACATGCCATTTTTAAACAACTTTTTTGAAAATCCTATTTTGGGGAAATTATTTGGCGAGACCGAATTGGCAGCAGCATTGAGGGAGATGAAAACGTATGACAAGGATTTTAAATTGTCTGAATTGATGTACTTATTTGAGTTTGTTATTTCGAAGCACATCGTGGAGTCATATTTAATTGGTGATGAAGAGACGCTTCGTTTGCATTGCGGGCAATCAGCTTTTAATTCTTTAAACGCAAGTATAAACGAGAGGAAGAAAAAAAAAGTGTATTTGGACACAAATGTGTTGATATACAAAAATCATGAACTAAAGGGGGCGCAGAGAATGGAGGAGAGTTCCCCCTGGTTCATTTTTACCTTCCACACGCAGCAAATTAACTGCTTAAAGAATGCGAATGATGAAATTATTGAGGGGAACATCGACGACATTCGCGAGGTGGTTTACACCATCGCTCTGTCCAAGCACCCCGAGCCCGAGAGGGAGGGCCTGCTCTACCCCTACATCGTGCGCGAGTTCGCCATCATTGGAAACACCCCCTCGTGGTGACGCAACTGTTAAGCGGTTAATCTGTTAAGCGGCTAATCCGTTAAGCGGCTAATCCGTTAGGCGGTGGAGAGGGGCGAGCTTTTCTTCCCTTTGCGCCGTCTTTACCCCGAGGCCACAGGCCCACGTGGGGAAAAAAAAAAAAAGTCCTCCTTGGCATATACCCCCAATGTGGAACACATTTTTCCTTTTTTTTTTTATTTATTTATTTATTTTTCTTTTTTTTAACAAGAAAATGCCTGCAGTGCACATTGCGCTAGGCGTGTTTGGTTTGATTTAAATTTTAATGTTCAAAAAAGGCGGGCGTTTCTTTTGTTGTGCTCGCCGCCCAATTGGTTCCTTAACGCAGACACAAAAAAAAGGGGGGGGATGGGGGTGCCCCGTGCAGATTTGCACATATAATCAGGGTGATTGTGCAGATGTGTGTGACGGTGTACGCGTGTGACGGTGTACGCGTGCGGAGAAAGCGGTCAACTAAAAAAGTAGCGGCTGCTCCGAACGAGGGACACGTCGAGGTGGCCCTGTTCCGGGGGCGCGGGTATCCTGGAGGCGTGCTTGCCCAAGCGCATCTGGTAACTCTGATAGAGGTTTTGTAATATGGGTTCCTCGTACAGAGTGACAAAGGAGTCTCGAATAAATTTGTTCATTATGTCTACATTGCATGCGTGGGCCCAGTAGGAGTCATGCACAGCAGCAAAGCTAAAATTATTTTCAAGGATCATTTTTTCAGCTGTCATCATCAGGTGAGAAGCATCTAGGGAGTGGACAAAGTTTGGAGGGAAGCCAAGTCTCTGTTTGTTTTTATGAAGCAAGCTATTTTGATACGAGATAACACTGACTGACTGTAGAGGAGTGTTCACTAAAATTCTTTGTCCTAATCTGTATGGCTGTTCGCATGGAAGACCTATAGGAGACAACCACGTGACGGGGATGTTCAGGTCATTGGTCACCTTAGATAAATTATTAAACCATTTCTTTATGATCATTGCTCTTTTAAAAATTTCGCTAATCGATTCGAAGATGTAATTGGCTATGTATTGTGACAATTGGTTTATCACATTTTTGTCCAACACTTTGCTAATTATGTTTTGTATTTTTCCTTTCACTTGATCCTTGGCTCCTACTGAGGTGACTCCATAGCAGATGGTCATGATGGTTTGCTTCACGACTTTCCTTTTCAGCAGGTCGTATTGGAAGCAGTATTGTGCAAGGTCTCCTCTGCACGTGGAGACAGAAGTGGACGTAGCATTAGTACTACTACGTACCGCTCCCTTCCCTGTACAGGAGGCCACAACAGCTGTTCCATCCAAGTCGGCTTTAATTTTACTCTTCACAATTTCTAACACAACAGTGTATATGTCTTGCGGTTCATCAGATGGTATGATGTTGACCGCCTTGCCTCCATCGTAGTCCCTACCCAGGGCAGCATAATGTTGAAGACCATTACATGTACCATCCTGCTGTACCGGGATGTTACTCTTATACCTTGACGGGTCAGGACATTGCATGGCTCTGGTGATGTCCATCGCAACGGAGAGGGCTTGCCAAGGTTTCTCGGCCATGTTCCAAAAGTCCATATGTTCAAATGGGTTTTCACTAAGCCTTTTTATATTACTCAGATTAGCATCGACCCAACTGATCCTCTGCTCAAAATTCATTTTGTCCTTACCAAAATTATTTGCCAGGTGTATTTTAAGCCAGAATAATCCCCTGGGCCCTATTTCCTCCTTATCACGGAAGGTAATTAAGCTACGACAAATGTCATCACTCATATGGTGGAGGTGGGGTGACAGCGGATACATCCTCCCCCTGAAATCAATATTATGTGGAAAATAAATCACTGGACAATTTTTCAACGTCTTTGCCACGGCGATTTTTTGTAAAAAGGTAGGCCGCTCACTGATCAGGCATTTATTCAGTCTGCTAATTTCTTCCCTTAACAAATAATATTTTTTAATGTCCTCGACATTTTTCTTGGCCATATCGGTAGGTCCATTTGGAAGATCATAATTTTGTTTGCGTGGAATATTTCCAATGGTAAGTCCATTCGAGTATGCATATTCAATGAGGTGTAAAATTTCTTCATTTATTTTCCATCTCACATTTCCTATTTGAGACACTATGTTTTTTATTCGCTCCAGGTTACACACATCTATGTTGAACAGGGGTTTCACATTGCAGCGAATGAAATTATTTTTTAATAAAATCATTCCTCCTTCTGCATGGGTCCACTTCTTTGGCTTGCTTATCATTGGCAGGTGATTCAGGGGGATATGCGAATTTATAGCGTTGTTTAACAGATAATTCGCGCAACACTCACGCATGTGTATGACTCCGTACCAGCTACCATTCCTCCACATGTATGAATGGATAAACACTGGGAGCTCTATCTTGTTTGGGTCTCTTCTCGATCGGTATAGCACTACCTGCTTGTTCTTTAGTTTCTCCTTCTGTCGTTTGCAAAAGTTGTTTTCGCGCGTTCTGTTGGTTCCCTGCAAGGTGTTACTGGCGCTGCTGACCATGTCGTTATCACCACCTTGATCATCCTTACCACACCTTTCCTTCTCCTCCTTTGCCTTTTTTTTTTTCTTCTTCTTCTTCTTCCCCCTACGTTGTTTTCCCCTCTCTGTACCTTCCTCGGCGCCCCTCCCCTTGCCCCGTTCAAGGACCACAAAATCGAGCGAGTTGGACTCTTCCTCATAGTACTTCTCGTACTTCAACTCTTTTTCATATTTGCAATCTGCGTGCAAGTTCTCCCCGTTATCCTTGGCCATCTTGTGTAGGAGGAGGTAATACCTGTACTCATTCCTGTGTTCCTCCTTGGCCGTACTCAGGTCGACGTCCATTTTTGCGCTGTCCATGAGCATTTTGAGCAGGAGCCCTCCGACTGCGGCCTTCTTCTGTGAGTTCCACTGGACTAGTTGGAAATCGTCGCGAGAGACATCCTCAGGGGCACCTTCTTCAACTACTCCTGCGATGACTTCTTCACCCTTTGCATTCCCACCTTGAAGCTTCTTCCTAATGTCACAGAGTATTCTATACTTTTGAAAGTGTGAGAAGGACGCGTTGGCTTTGTTCTTCTTTACGTAGCGGTACAGTAGGTTGTTCCTCTCGAGCTGTTGAAAGTTCATCTCGTTATTAATTTCCTGGCCGATTTTAATAGCGATGTGGGTGAAGAGTGATTGGTATGCATACCCCTGCTCGAAGTTCTTAGATTGAGTGGTGATGCTGTTTGCATATTTTTTTTTGTGTGGGTTGAAAGTGTATTGAATTGTCCACTTGACTGTAATGATGGCAAGCAGTTTGTCTTCTACCAATTCTGGTAACCCCCTCCTACTACTCTCCGTGAAAGAAGCGGTGGTGGAGGTCATCTGACCAGTACTCCCTTCACCGTTACAACCTTCTCCATCTCGCCGCTTCTGCTTTTGCTTGTAGTTTGCAATTCTCCTCTCCAGCTCGTTTACCCAACTGAGGTATATTTTGCAGAGCCCCCGTATTTCAGTTATTTTCTTCAGGTCGTGGAGATTTGAAACAAACTCTTCCGCTTCCTCGATGGCCTTTTGGTATGAGGACCGCTCTATTAGCATTTGCCTGCGCACGTTCACAATGTCTTCCTCGGGGGGTTCGCTCCCCGCCTCGACACAGTTAGGCGGTTCGTCGGCTAGCGGCTTGTCCAGCCGTTCGCTTGGCCCCTCGCTTGGCGCTTCGTGGGCCGCTTCGTGTGGCGGCCCGCTAAGCGAACCGCTCCTCCCCCCCTGGACGATGGGGTATATGTGCTCCCCGTACAACTCCTGTTTCGCCTTTCTAATAAAGTTCAAGTCGAACAGGCTGTTCACGTCGGTGCCTGACCCCTGGATGCAGTCCTCTCCAAGATTCATATGCACCCCCTCGATGTGACTCAGCACTTGTTCCCCCCCAAGGTCACACATGAGGAGACCATTCGCCGCCATGTACTGGTCCAGGTTTTTAAAGAAGGTTACAATATCTCCTTGTACATTTTTTAAGTATTTTTTATTTAACGTGTTTATATAATTCACAATTTGTTGCTTCTTCTTTGTGTCTAATTTTTGAATCGACCTTATTAAGTTGTGTAGCTCCTTGAGGACCTGCTCGTCGAGGTTCCTCGCCCCCCCATCGGGCCGCACCGTGTGTGTCTCTTCAGGGGGTGTGTGTTGCGCTTCTGTGTGTTGCGTTTCTGTGCGCTGCGCTTGTGCGTGCTGCGTTTGTGAATCCCCTTCGGGTGCCTGCTCCCCCCAGTCGCCCACAAACTCTGTTGAATCACTGCCCAACGTTACATTGTCCCTAATGTGCTTGCTCGAAGCAGGGTCCTCCTCCCTCGATATGAGTACCTTCGAGGATATAAATGCCCTAGTTTCGCAACGGTGCAGGGGTTGTCCATTTGCGCTTCTTATATAAAGGGCGGTGCTCTTTTTACTTAACTGTGCGAAGCGGGGGATAAAGTGTGACGCGAGTACCTTCAATTTCATTTATTGTTACGGGTTTGGACGAGAGAACGCGGAATTACGGAGGAGGAGGGGGACTGCGCGTCATTTTGGTGCAGTCCTCGCTGTTCATATATGTTATAAATAAATGTGGGCACAACATATGCCTTTTACATATGCATGTCTGCACTTGCTCGTGGTCTCCCCCTCCTTTGGCGACGCAACATCAGGACTCCACAACCCATGGTGTTGCAGAAAAAAAAAAAAAAAATATGCCTACCGAATGTGTGTACGCATGTAGAGAAACTGTACTACTGATGTGATGAACAAATAAAAAAATTAATTATCCATTTTTCTTTTTTTTCTTTTATATTTGTACAGCAGCCGCCTCCCACACCCAATAACTTATCTCTTCATTGTTGAAACGAATGAGAATATTCTACGTGATTTCCTCTTAAAGGGTTTAAAGGATGAAAAAAAAAAACGTGGAACACGCAGCTGAAAAGGGGTTAATTTGTAAATAAAAAAAAAAATCCAGCTGATTTGTCAAATGAAAGGTGATGCATATTAACACCGGACGAAGTTTATTATTTTTTTTTTTTTCCCCTTTAAAGTGGGAAGAAAATGGAGCAGAGGCGAAACACAAATAAAAAATGCTACATGTTTTTTTTTTGGCTCAACATTGTTCAAACCCTTCTACAGCGGAAAAATCATGTGCTCCTCCCGGCTTGCATTTACACGCATGTACAATAATTATATAAAAAAAAATATTATGCACATATGTATGCTTCCATATTGGCATCCTTGCGAAAAGCGAGCCACACCCTGTGCACGTGCAGTTTTAAAGGCCTTTTGGGCTTCCTCCTCGGGGACTCTCTTTCATTCCGTGTGCTCCACATGTGGTAGCGACAGCACCGTCATCTCTCACCAACATAGGATTACCCACTTACTGAATTGGGTTGACGTACGCTCCGTATCTTTTTTTTTTTTTTTTTTTTTTTTCCACTTCGTTTAATGTATCATCCTTTTTTTTTGGTCTATATGAGGGAGAAGACGAATTCAAGTTTCATGAGCAGCCCACACCCAGCCTACGTCACCGGAGAGTGATGATGGCAAGTGCGGGTGGCACGACCTTTCGTCTCCCCGTCGACCCCATTGTTCGAGTTCCTCTTTGGCATGCACATGGGGATGGAGCAGGAAAAAAATAGTAAAATAAAATAAACACAAAAATGTACATTTACACGTAATACGTGTAACCCATTAAAGTTGCTGCAACGGAGTGGACGTCCTCCTTCCCCCTTCCACGACGACCAATCTGCACCCCAACGGAGGGAGGCATACAACTTGTATCCAGTGCGTGTAGGTGTGCACATATAACGGCAGCCACGTCCGTCGTGCACCCGCCTGTTCCCCCATATTTCTTTTCCCGTCTCGTAGGGATTCCCCCGAAAAAAAAAAAGAAAACAAAAAAAAAATTACATACGACAGGATATGTTGCCACGAATCCGGGGATAGCTATGCGCAGACAGAAATGGCGGCGACCCAACCCCCCGTGGAAAAGCGGTTTGGCTGCGGCGAGGCCACTTCACCAAGGGGTCACCTTGGAAGGGATATGGTGTTTCCTGCACCTGGACGAGCACACGCATCTGCACATGTGGTTTCCAAACGTATGCCATGCATTCGCGCACATGTATACAGGTACACATAACCCAGCTTTATTCCGTTCTACATGAGGCAGGTACCAAGTAAACCTACACTCCCGGTTTGCACAACATATATTTTCGTCCGTACCTTTTTGCTCCTTCGCTGATTTGTTCCTTGGCCATTTGCTTTTTTTTTTTTTTTTTTTTTTTCCCTGTGCAGAC